TTTTCTCCTCCACAGATGCTGCCAGACCTGCTGAGCTTTTCCAGCAACTTTGTTTTTGTTCCTGATTTACAGCATCCACAGTTCTTTTGGTTTTTAATAGATGTTAGGCTAATCAGCCTGCAGTTACCCATTTTTTGCCTTCCCAACTTTTTGAATAGAGGTCTCACATTAGCAGTTTTCCAATCCTCTGATACTTCTCCAGAATCCAAGGATTTTTCAAAAATTACAACCAATGCAGCCACTATCTCTATAGCGACCTCTTTCAAGATCCTAGAATGCAACTCATCAGGGCCAGGTGACTTATCTGCCTTTAGCCTTGTTACGATCTCTTTTATGATGGTGATGGTATTTAACTTATCCCACATATTCTTCAGTATTAATGGGGGTATTCTTCCACTATAAAGACAGATGCAAAATGTCTGTTTAACTCCTCTGCTATTTCCTCTAAACTTCCTCATAGATTATTTGCACTATCGTTTTGGTCCTCCTTGGCTGGATTCTGAATTTATCCCAGTCTTTGGGGCTATCACTGACTTGGCCTCCTTATATGCTTTCTCTTTGAACTTTAAACTCTCCTTCCTTGGTTAGCCATGGTTGGATTATATCTCTTTAGGATCTTTTTACCCTACTGGGATATATTTTTGTTGAGAGTCATGAATTACCTCCTTAAATGCCTGGCAGTGTTTGTTTACTGTCATTCCGGCTAATCTACTCACCCAGTTCATTTTAGAAGACTCTGTTCTCATTTAATTGTAATTTCCTTTATTTAAGTTAAACAGTTTTTTTCTGACCCAAGTTTCTTACTTTCAACTGAATATTAAATTCCATCACATTATGATCACTACTACCTTTCTCTTTTCTCCCCGCTCTTCAATGGTTCCCTATACCATAGTGCTGTGGTCATTTTGCTCATCCTCTCAACAGCCCTCGCTCTCATCCATACAGGGAGCAAGAATCTTAAACCTGTTCAGCAAGCTCAAGGGCTTTTGTTTTATTCACTCACAGGATGTGGCCAGCATTTATTGTGAATCCCTAATTGCTCAGAGGGCAGTTAAGAGTCAATCACATTATTGTGGGTCTGGAGTCACATGTAGACCAGACCAGGTAAGGTTGACAGTTTCCTTCCCTTAAGAAAATTAGTGAACCAGATAGATTTTTCCTAACAATCAGCAACAGTTTCATGATCATCATTAGACCCTTAATTTCAAATTCTTTACTGAATTCAAATTCCACCATTCGCCATGGCGGAATTTGAACCCAGGAGTTCTGGCTTAAATGTCTAGTAATAATATTACTAAGCCATTGTCTCCTTCAGGAGCTGAGGCTTCTTCAACACTACCTCCTGGATACCTCTACGTGCCATGCTCATAGACATACCCTTCTGTTCCTGACTACTGACTGAATTTGAGGTAGTTCATTTGAGGGGTTCGTCAGGACTGCCTCTTGAAAGACAGCATCCAGGTTACTCTCCTCCTCCCTGATGTGCAGCAATGTTCAAAGTTCAGACTCCAGCTCATCAACTCTGAGCTGGAGTTCCTCAAGCAACCAACACTTGCTCTAGATATAATGACTATGAACAACAAAGGGGTCCACCAGTTCCCACATCATGCAGGTACAACATATCGCCTGGCTCTGCATCTCTATTTTGTTTATTTGATAGCACTGTCTATCACTTTACTGATGATTGAGAGTTGACTGCTGGGGTGGTAATTGGCCAGGTTGGATTTGTCCTGCTTTTTTGTGTACAAGATGTACCTGGGCAATTTTCCACAATGTCAAATAGATGCCAGTTTTGTAGCTGCCCTGCCCAGCTTGCCTAGGGGAGCAGCAAGTTCCGGAACACAAGTATTATTGCCGGAATGTTGTCAGGACCCATAGTATTTGTAGTGGGTCCAAGCGGATCTGACTATTTCTTAACATCGCATCGAATGAAACAAACTGGCTGAAGTCTGGCATCTATGAGGCTGGGCACCTCTGGAGGAGACTGAGATAGGTCATCCACTCAGAACTTCTGGATGAAGATTGTTGCGAATGCTGCAGCTTTATCTTTTGCACTGATGGGCTGGGGTCTTCCATCGTTGAGAATGGAGATGTTTGTGGAGCCTCCTCCTCAAATGACTTATTTAGTTGTCCATCAGTCATGACTAGATGTGGTAGGATTGCAGAGCTCAGATCTAATCCATTAGCTGTGGAATCACTAGTCTATCACTTACTGCTTACACTGTTTGTCATGCAAGTAATCCTGTTTTGTGGCTTCTCCAGGTTGACATCACATGTTTAAGTTTGCCTGGTGCTGCTCCTGGCATGTCCTTCTGCATTCTTCACTGAACCACAATTGATGGTAATGGGTAGAGTGGGGATATGCCAGGCAAGGAGGTTGCAGATTTGTGTTGGAACATTACTCTGCTGCTGTTGATAGCCCACAGTGACTCATGGATGCCCAGTCTTAAACTGCTAGATGTGTTCAAATTCTGTCCCATTTATCA